ATTTCCTGGACATCCGGGCTGGGCTTATGCTTTCAGGCTGCCCTGTCTGGTCTACTCTATCTAGGTCACCCTGAGGGGCCTCCCGATCACCAGGATATCCCCTCTTGCTGAGGCATCGAGCGGGAAGTATAGGTGGCATTTGCGAGAACCTTCTTGTGTAATGCTGTCTCAGGCAGTGCTCCCCTCAGCTTAGAGGGTTGTATTTGAGCTTGACTCTCCTGTTTGGCCCAGTACTTCTGGGTATCTGTTAACAGATGCTTGAATAGATAGCCAAATCAGGAATAGATTCCTTTAAGGGAATACGACCAAGAGCCTAGACTCATACTAGTCTTGGCCTGTCACACAGGGGCTACCGCACACTCTGTATATGCTGAAGGAACTGTCTCAACAGACCCCTAGTAGCAACACCCTGTTAAAGTAGGTATCCAGAGGATACATAGTGGATATTTAATCATGCATTCTTATGTGTTTATTACTACAGTCGGTTGTACTTGTTGTACTAGCAAAAACAATTCTGAGCTTCCTTCAAGTAACAAAATCAGATATCTACAATAAAACTCGGAGAAAGAACTATTTATAATTATTTTTATTTTTCAAATATTCCACACATTTACAGCATCTTTATTACGGAGTGGAACATTTCTTAAGAGTGGGTACTTTAGAACTAGTTCCTGTTTTTATCACACATGCAGGGGCTGAAGGACGTGGGTTTGACCCAAAGAACTTAAACACAAAAGATAAAAGAAAAGAAAACCACAAGCTGAAGAGCAGCACATGTTGATGAGCACAGTAATAAAGCACCCTGCAAACACAAAGCACTGAGACATTTACAAGCAAACATTTTCACACTTTTTCTCAATTCATTATTTCAGTAAATGTTGCAGGTGAATAGCTGAATGAGCAGCTCTTAGTCTTTATTGTCTTCTGTTCACAATAAATGTTCATCTTCTGTCTCTCTGTGTTTAGTCTCATGTGTCTCGCTGTGGGTTTCCTGAATAAAGCTGTTTAATCTTCACACTCAAACTAAACTGAGACACTGAACCTTCACCAGTTTTCTGTGGCTTTGAGATGGACAGAAAAACAGCTTGTTCATCACACAAACACAAAACACCTCCAGCATTTGTGAGAAACTTTGAGACAGAAAACATGTCATTTTCAAGTCTCTGAATATTACAATAACAACAAATCATTTCAAAATGCTAATTATTACTGTTCATTTGCATGTATTGTGGATATTTAGTTCAGGCCTGAGAGTAATACATAATCAAATTATTATTTGGACTCGGACTGATGTTCTCCTTTGCAGAAAGTACAAACGTTTCTCATTGTCTTTCATGATAATAATTAGATAATCATGCTTGTATACTGTGTTTCTGGATATTTCTCTGATAATGTTGATTTCATCAGTATGGAAACTAGATTCAGTCATCGTCTGTGTTGAGGCTGTTAATGAGAGTCAATGCCTTGCAATGATAATGTTTGACAATTCAAATATAATATAAAAAATGTAAATAATAATTGATTTCCTGTGTTCATCACACCCTCACATAAACTGACATGAGAAGCTATTTTAAACATGCGAAAGAAGCAACAAGATAATTCACAACATGATTCACAAACTGAACTGAATGACCCTCATCAAACCAAACAACTGCTCAACACTAAATTATGGATTTCAGAAATCATAAATAACATTTTTATCAACAAACTGTGAGTGTAAACAAACGTATATATATTATACAGTGGTGTGAAAAAGTGTTGGCCCCCTTCCTGATTTCTTTTTTTTTTTGCATGTTTGTCACTTTAATGTTTCAGATCATCAAACTAATTTAAATATTAGAAACTGACAGCAGCGTACAGGAGCTCATCAGAGGGGATTGTGGGTAATTCATCATGGTTCTTCATTTGAGCTGATCCAGGATCTGAGAGAGAATCACATGAATCAGATCAACATCAAGCAGCATCTGAGACAACTCAAAGATACATTTTACATCTGCTGACAGTGAGCAGATTGAAGCAGCTCAGAGACAGTACAAAAACTAAAATACCTCAATTTAAGCACATGCAAAATTATGTTTCAACAAATAAAACCAAGGATCACCTCGTCTCTTGTGTCTTAATTTGCACACAGTCAGAGTGAATCCACCGATCAGCAGCAGAATCACACACACACTAATAATGAAGATCACGGAGAAATCTGAGAATAAAACACACACTGAGTGTTAATTAAAGAGATACACATAAATGAAATATATAGAGACGTTGGCTTTGATTTATAGATTGAATCATAAGGGCAGATGATCTCAGCAGATTCTCCTTCATGTCTCACTACTGGAGGCACTGTGAACAAAGAACAGCTAAATTGTACATTAATTATTGTGCTTATTAAATATTTCTGTATTTGGTATATAAGGTCAACCATTAAATAATTATTAACCAACAATTGAAGTGCTCAGGTTCCTCACCGTGTTTGAGGTGCAGCTGAAGTTCAGTGAAGCTCTCAGTATAGTCAGATACTTTCACTCCACACCTGTATGTTCCTGCATCTGCAGCTTTCAGCTCTCTAAAAAACACCATCAAGACTCCTGCTCTGGTGTCGTCATATAAAGAAACATCTCCATTCTCCATCCATTCATCCTGAACTCCTGGATTCTTCCTCTCTGAACATCCGTCTGATTCTTTACAGATGTATTTTGGGTTGGTTTTGTATTGAGGATGTTCACACTTGATCATCAAACCACCTCCTGAGGAGCCGCTCACTCTAGACACGCCCACTTTAGCTGTCAATCACAAATATCATTACATTTTAAGCAAACACAGATTGTAATTTGTTTTTGCAGGTTTGATTAATTTTGTTCTACTTACTAATAATATGTAGATGCACAGTGTTAATAATGGAGTAACTGTATGATTGTCTGTAGATCCAAACTCCACATAAATAAACTCCTCCATCATCTGGTGTCACAGCAGTGATTCTCACACTGATGAGTTTTTTGTTTCTGCAGTCATATCCACTGAATCTTCCTATCATACTCGATGTGTACATGTGTATCATCTCTTCAACAGAGTATGTTCCTTCTTTGAATATGATTTTTGAGTCATTAATATGATTCTGTGAATATTCACAGCTGAAATTGGCAGTTTCTCCAATATTCACCATCACTCTCTTTGACACTTTACAACATGCATCTGTCATTGATATGATAAAGAAATATATTTTACATATACACTATATAGAGATTTAATAATCAGTAATCAGACTACACAAAGAGGGAGTTCAAGGATTTAATTATTTGAAAAGCATTTTTAAAAGACATGGTGGCTCTACTATAGTGGTCCAATTTAAATTGATTCATTTATCTGAAATGCATATTCTTGGGAGAAACAGACACAACTCAAACTTGCCAGCATAAAAAACGAAACAGCAAAAGATTTGTAACAATCTCAAGGAAAGATTACCATTACCAATTATAAATGGAAAAATGCTGCTTTAACATTTTCATGAGTGGAAATTTTTTGTAAACTAGCCTGTCTAGAGTAACTTTTTTAATGTCGAATCTGATTCACTGGATGGCTCAGCACATGAGATGAATGCTTTTCATTCATAAAGTGACATTTGCACTGTAAAAGTTTATAGTTATTCTGTATTATCTCGGTATCTGTTATATAAAATAAACAAACCAGGTGCTTAAAAAAGGCCATTAGAATCTTCGCTTGCATTAATCGGAATTACAGACACTGAACAGACATGCTAAGTGTAATATGCAATGTTTCGTTGATTAATAGATTTTTGAAGCGCGCATTTGAAATGTTAACTTTAATTACGTTACTTCTGTGACTATTTAGATAACTGTGGCACAAAATAAACAAAAAATTATGAGCTTGATAATGTCGTCTGAATATCGCCTGTCTGATTGATTACGATCCAGCGTGTCTTCCTCTATATTTCTGCCATTTTGTCAGAATTGTTGTGAGATTAAAAAGATGAAAAACTTGCAATAGTAAGACTAAAAGACTGCATTGTGAGATATAAAACGATAATTTCCAAGAAAAAAGTTGCAATTGGGTCAGATTTTTTATTCCGTTAAAAATAAATAAATAAATAAATGTGAATACTTCCATAGTGAAATACTGAAATATCTGATGGTACACGGTACTGGGAAAAGCTTAGACACAGATGAAGGTCCTGCATTTTAGGGGGTGAGGCTGAAATGATCAATGGTAAAAAGGGTCTCGAAGTGCCTCTGCTACACAAAGACTATACTATAAAAAATATTTACCTTCTTCCACATTCAAAGTTATATCAATGATCGATTGGCCATCAAGCCCAACCTGGTATCTTCCAGCATCTTGTGTGTTCAGTTCTCTGATGTAGATCATGAGGTTTCCCTCATTATTTTGAAACAGTGTGAATCGTCCTTCTTTAATCCATTTATCATGTTTCATATCATGTATTATCATACTCCACTCAGGTAATTTAACCATATATTTAGCAGAGTCACGGAACCAAAGTTTCCCAGAATCAACAAGAAGACTTCCTCCAGAATATCCCGTGACGAGTGAACAGCCAGCTTCTTTGGCAATGAATGTTTGTGGCTTACCCTCCTTGTGAAGGGTGTCAATGATTGTCTTCTGGACAACTGTCAGATCAGCAGTCTTCCCCATGATTGTGTAGCCTAGTGAACCAAACTGAGAGACCATTTTGAAGGCTCAGGAAACCTTTGCAGGTGTTTTGAGTTGATTAGCTGATTGGCATGTCACCATATTCTAATTTGTTGAGATAGTGAATTGGTGGGTTTTTGTTAAATGTGAGCCGAAATCATCACAATTAAAAGAACCAAAGACTTAAACTACTTCAGTCTGTGTGCACTGAATTTATTTAATACACAAGTTTCACAATTTGAGTTGAATTACTGAAATAAATGAACTTTTCCACAACATTCTAATTTATTGAGATGCACCTGTATAAGGTCAAATGACACTGAAGCAGTTTAGATCAGCATCAGCATTATTTGAATCACCCTCTAGAGGGCAACTGTGGATATAAGTTCACTGAGGTTCCCTAGAGCAGGGGTCGACAAATAAGTTTGGCATCGGGCCAAAAAAATTAATAAAATGGCGGGCCAGAACATAGTTAAAGTATAATTTAAGAAATGAATTGATGAAAAATGCAACTAGAATTGCATGTGACAGACTGTGCTCCGCGTCTAATGTATTTCAGTTTGTTTGAAATATCACAGTTCTGTTCATAACGTATATATAAAAAAATAAAATAATAAAATAACAGGAGAGTTTCAAAGTGGCTTATTGGAACACTAGTGTGCAAAAAATTTTCCTACCACCTGACAAGCTAATAACACGGTTGTCAGCATTAAAAGGTATAATTGATGCTTTTTGCCGTGCAATTTTTGTTTGTGATGAAAATAACAGTACGTTTTCGTCAGTTATTTTACCTATGGATCGATGCATTTCTTACAGATTTCTGCTCATTCGAAATTGGATACAGACAGAGCCGGATTTACGCATAGGTATTCTAGGCAAGTGCCTGTGCTTGCTCGTCCAGGGGGGGCCCAAACACAATGTCGAGATATATAATATTTGTGTTACCCTATGGGATATCTACAACAGTAAAAGAACCAAAACCCCAGAAGACATTGAGCAAATAAATATAACAAACAATAGGGTAAAATTGACAAACTATTTCCATGTCTTCAACTTTTTTTATGTACGGAAATCACGCTTACTTACTCCCGTTCGCTCGCACACACACGCTGAAACGCGGACAGAAACTTGTCATCAGCGCTGCGGCTGCACCGCAAATTTATCAGTAAAATAGTTTCGCAGCTGAAAAGCTACATGACATTTCTCAGTAGCGAGGTTCTTGAAGCAGTTCAACTTAAAGATTCGCTATTAGTAGACGCTACTGCTGAGAGACGCACAGACGCAAGTATTCACACGCAGTTAATCTCTCTCTCTCTCTCTAATAACTGCGTTAGACTGCATTAATAACTGTGTTAGCCTGCATATCAATGGCTCAAGCCTCTGTTATTAGCTCTAAAATAACGTTTTGAAATTTGCAACGGAAGGTTTGGGATGAGGTGCGTAAAAAATTAGCTAGTTCAACACCTACGAGATTTCAGGACGGAAACATGTCAAATGTCTTGAAACAAATCATCTGAACAATTGATGTGTGATTGTGAATCCAGGCCGTTAAATTTATTAGAGAAATAATGCACTCCCGAAGTGGTTATGTGGCCACGTCGCCACGCCTATTAATGGAATGAAATGCAATTTGTTTGAATTCTCAAATAAATTAAGAACCTACATTCAATTTCTATTGACTGAACGCAAGCGCTTATTGCGATAGAAAACACTGTAACGGTTTCCACTGATTAAGAAATTTGTTTATTTTTTGCTTGGGTGGTAATATTAGGCCTATTATATTAATAGGGAAGGGGGGGGGCAAAAGTGTGTTTTGCCTATGTCACGAAAAGAAGTAAATCCGGCCCTGGATACAGATAAAGTAGCACTGTAAGATTACATTTGTTTGAATGCATTATTGAGAGAGCGATTGTGTGTTGTAAGGCATTTCCAAACATCACACAAACCAGATGAGAGTCGTAAAAGCATGAACCATGGTCAGCCCAGGCGTACCTCTCTCCAATGAGTTCCTGCCTCGCTCTGCTTATCTTTACAAAGAAAACAC